CTTGCAATGAGGGGCTCTAAAAGGCTGGCAAAGCCCTGCCCAGTTTTGGTGCCGGGGGGAGACTGGGGGAATTTCAGGTGGACTTGGCAAACACCGGTGAAAGTGGGGGCTGGCCGAGATCGGGAGGGTCTGCTGGAGGGGAGAACATCACCTGCAGACGTACCTTGCTGGGTTTGAAATTCTCTGTATCGGTGTAGGGGAGCGTGCTGCGGTGTCCGGCTCAGCACAGGCTGATGCTGGCCATGCCCGAGGCATGTTGACCTGTCGCCACCAAACGGCAGTGAAGGCTGATGCTGGATGGGACTGGGGTTTTTAGCCCGATAAACCATCCACAGTTAGGCAATAACGATAGGCTGATGCCTGGAGAGCGCTGAGAGTTGCTTCAGGAATAAGTCAAGCCCATAACTCGCGGGGCTGGGGAAGAGCTGTGGCGTTACTTGCGCCTGGCCGCGGGCAGGGGTGGAAGGACCGGCTGCAGGATGTGGCCGAGGCCAAGAAGTGGAAGGAAGTTGCAGCCGTTGGCTTTACATGCAGATCCATGGCGTTGTGCTGATTTTTGGCATCTGAACTCCACGGCACAGGGCTCATGCAGCGTGGGTGTGGGAGCAAGAGCTTGCTTGCACCCCCGGCACAGGGGGGGCAGGTCACAGGGGTGCCGGAGGGTGCTTTGCCCTCATCTCGCCTGCAGCACTGGCTGACCTTCAGCAGTGTGGGGGCCCGCTGGCCAACTGGCACCCACCTAAAGACCCCCCCTCACGGCTGTCATGCCGAGCAAGGGCGCGCTGGAGGGACGCGTCGTGCCTCCGGGTGTTACGCAATGGGAGAAATCCCACCCAGGCGTTTCCACGGCAAAAATGTTTGGGTTTATGTTCCTGCTTTGTTAAACCGCGGCTTCTTGTAGTCGCAGCCCTGCCCGGCTGCCAGATTTCCCCAGGGGCCGGCGTGAGCGTGGCTGGGGCTGGCTGACCCTTGGGCACGAGTGACACGGGGCGGTTTGTAAACAGCGTTAATATTTTATAGCTTTTATATTTAGGGACTTAATGACTCTAAACAAAGCAGCTTTAATCTAATCAGCTATTCCTCGTGCCACATCAATCCTGGACATCAAAGCACACATCAAAGTGAGAGGCATGAAAGGCTTCGCAGGCAGCGCCAACTGCTTCGCCCAGGTGCGACTCCGAGCGAGCTTCCTCCTCCTCCTGCTGCTGCTCCAGCCTGCTTCTTGAGGCTCCTCTTGCTTATCTCGGATCTGAAGGATGTTGTCCCAGCAAGGAAAACAAGACTAACGTAGGAATGGCCCTCAGGAGCAAAGCAAAAGGCTGTTTAAACTCTTTGCATCTTTTCGCCTCAGATGGCAGCGAAGCCGGGCGGGAGCGTGCGGTGTCCCCTCCGTGGGGGATCGGCCAATGGTGGGCCTGTGGAGGCTGTTGGGGAGCTTCTCACACCAGTCCTTCGTTTTAAATTCTTTTCCCGATGTTGGTCAGACTCTAAACCAAGTCCTGTTCTTGCCTTTTTTTTTTTTTTTTTTTTTTTAAGTTTTGGTGGCCGGAGAGATGAGTCAGGGAGGTGAGAGGTGCTCTGCTCCCTGGTCTGGGGTTGTACATGCGGCTGGGAGCATTGGGCTCTGGCGGCTCTACCTGGAGCCTCCTGGCAAAGCAAGGGACCAGCCCTGGTTCGAAGGCAGTTGGTCCGAAGGTGGTTTCAAAGCATGAGTGCCCAAAAGAAGTGCCGGGAAGCTGCCCGTGGCGGCAGTGATGGTGATGGGGTGTTATGGCTGTGCAGCGGGAGCCCCCCGTCCTGCCAGGCTGGGGAGAGCCCGGCGGGTCCGGCTGGTGGCAGGGGATGGCTGCTGCGGCATGTGCCGGGGCTGCCGGGCAGGCGTCCAGGAGAGCTTCCTCCTGCTGCTTTCCCATGGCCGAGATGGGCTCCGAGGCTTGAGAAAAGCACTGGGGGCCGCAGAGAGGAAGCTCTTGGGAGCCTTTGCGCTCCGCAGCTCTTTTGGATGCAGCTGCTTTTCCATGTCTCTCTTCAGGGTAAAAAAAAAAAATAAAAGCGTGTGTATGTATTTGTATGTGCAAGGCTGCATTTGGGCAGGCCTTGATAAGGTTGCTGCAGCATTAACATATCTAAATATCCAGTTGCTTAGTTTTATAAGCCCCTCGAGCTCGTGCAGGGAAGAGCTCAAGGTCTCCTCCAGGCACTTGCAAATCCTATTCCAGGCAATTAGGAAGAGCTGGTGCGGCAGGCAGGGACCGGGGCAGGCAGGGGCCGG